TAATAATATTCTTATCAATTTTCTTGTTCAATATCGTAAAATCTGATTTTTCATATCTAAATATTTTATTGAAAACTAGATTTTTACAAGTCATATCAACGATTAGATTGATAATTTCTGAAGGTTTAAGAACGATTGACTCATACTTAATTAATTAAAACTAGCACCGATTTCAAAGAAGAGAAAACCGAAAAAGTCAAAGAAAAAATCAATTTCAAAAAGTTTGGTAAGACATAAACAACCTCCTGTTAAAAGAAAGACAGTTAAAACAGACGGACCTTATTGTTCAGGTTGTGGAAAGAAGCAATAGATGGCTCCTGTTAGAAAGAAAAAAGCAGTTAAAACGATTAAGTGCGCTGAAGGTTTTTGTTCGGTGAAATCAACGAGAAAATCAGTTATTGTGGGAACGTTGATAAATACAACGCTTGTCGAAAGAAGAGAACTATCGGTACAGAGGTTGATGAAGGAAAATTTGGAGTTATTAAAGATCAGGGAAAGTGCTATTATTGGGATACTATATTCTCGAATGTGCTTACTTTCCACCCTTTTTCAAGGACCTAAAACTGTTGATCATTTGATAATGTCTGATATCTCGATAGATCTTCAGATCACTGTGAGTAGTACTGGTTCTACAATTGAATTACCAACAAAAAATGGTACGACTAATATTGTGGGTTTGATGGAACCTATAACAATAAGATTTTTTATCGTGCAAATTTGCGATGAGAAGATGGCAAAAAAAAAGAGTTATTCATTGGAGGAACTTTTTGTTGATATAACTGAATTGGGAGATAGACTTAGGTTTCGAGATCAGTTCAAACTAATAGCGGAGGAAAAATTGGAATTTTTATGTGATACTAGATGTGATTTTCAAACAAAAAGTTTGGTTTTATGTGCTGATTTGAATCATAAAACATGTGTTTTATCAAGAAATGCTGGAGAAAATATAGTATATACAGAAGAGAATTTTATGTTAGCAATTGTGACAGATTATGCTGATTGGTTGTATAAGATGAGGTTATATAAATTTGAAGGGGCAGAAAGATCATTATTTGGTAATGAAACTAAAATTGAATTAGGTCATTCTGGAATATCTGCATTTATTAGTGGCGGTTCTATTGAAGCTGCATGGCGATTAGATCCTTCTAGCATGAGAGGGTTGCAGGGATTGTTTTCCATGCTCAAGAAGTGTTGTGATAAGGATGGAATGCAAGTTGATACTTGATTTAGATTTTATTTTGTATAAATATCTCTCTTGTTAATTAATAAATATTCATTTTTTTAAATGATATCTGCTCGATCATATTGTAAAATTAATGATGGAAAATTTCATGATTGTGATTATAATGATACTAAACAACAAAAAATCGCACATAGTAAAGATGATGAATATTACGAGGAGTTTCTAACAGGATTGTATTCAATTGCGCATCAGTTAATTTCTTCACCGATTGAACCTCCAGTTGAACCACCTCTAATTACTGATGATAACGAAACATTTGACAATTTAAAGAATTTGATTCAGAATGAATATGATATTGGTGTTTTGGAAGACGGTAGAGCAATTGATAAGGCGATCGGAACATCAAACTTACCTGCAGAAAAACAAAATGTGTTGCAAGCTTTGAGACGAGATCAGTATGCGATATTGTCAAGGTTTAATAGTTTGGCTAAGGATATTAGTGAAGAAACATCTATTTCAAAGTTACAAAATGGTGGTGATTGGGATATCGATATAATAGCTGATATTTTGTGAGTATAAAAAAGTTTACACTGAAATATCTGAAGAAAAAGATTTAGATAGATTAAGAAATTACTGGAAAAATACAATAAACAATTCAAATTTCACATCGGAAGATAAGAATGAACTGAATGAATTACGTGATGCAAAGATAAAAGAGTTGGAGAATTCCATTACTGATCTTGATGCTTTTACATCGGTGAGGAATGGAATCAGGAACGACACATCCATAGCAAATTTGGAAGATAACGGATATTGGGATCGTAGAATAAGAACCGATAGCGTGTTGAATTCAACCCAGAAAGCAAGTCTGCAACAGTTTAGAGTTGAAAAATTGAGAGAATTATCCGATCAATACTACGATCAGATCAGGAATGAGCTTCCCAACATTAAGAATCCATTACAATTACAAGATGGTTCGAGGATTGATAGACGAATCCGACAATTGGAGAATGCTAATCTAACAGGTGGAAGGAATGTGAAAGATCTTCAACAGTTACATGTTAGCTTGCTAGATTCTTTGTTGGGTAGTTTGGAAGTTAACAAATGGGACAATTATCAAAGGTTGATAAATCAGTATTATAGACAATTTGATATCAATGATCTGGATGATACGAGTAAACTTGCAAATGATATATTGGCGTTAAACGCAACGTTATTGGGTGATCAGAGAAGCAAACAAAGATTAATCGATTTGAGAAAAAACAAGTATAATAATTTATTGTACATTTTATTAAGCGATTTGATTAAAGAGGAAAATGATGTGACAGAACTTGTTGATGGGGGAAGTATGATCAAGAGATACAGGGTATCGATCAACAATATTTGGATTTTCCAAGAACCAAGGAACAGTTACAGAAAGAATGCCGTGATCAATTAAATTTCTTGTCAAGTTCACCACCAAAGGATGATAAATTGAATAAAAAAGATAAAATCAAACAATAAATCAGATGATAAATTGGATGAAAACGATAAACCAGATGATAAAATAGATAACAAGAACGATACATTAGATGAAAAATTGGATAACAATAATATTAAAAAGTTACTCCTCAGATATCTTAGGGAGTTTCCTCAAGGCAAGTTTAACGGTTCGTTGGAGGATGATAATCTGTTGGATCGAATGATAAATTCATCAACCGAATTGTCAGATGCACAAAAAAATAGAGTATTAAAAGATTAGGAAGTCCATTAACGACATGTACAAGGATGAAGAACGTGATCATTATTTCGTTAATCCATATGACTAGAAGTATATTTCCGTCTTTCTCGATACATCGAAAGCAACGTTTGAAGATGTTGATCAATTGATTAAGAGGATCTTAAAGACAAAAAACAGGATGTATGCAAGATTACGTGGCTTTTTTGGGGACAAGATAATGATCGAGATTCTTAGGTTAGTCGAATGATTAGCAACAGACAACATCAAGATATTGTTAAGATCGGTTCGTGAACTTGTGAAGAATGATGAGGAATTGCTGAGAAAAATTGATGAAAAGCTTGATAAGAAACATAAGGTTAGTGATAATGAATTCAAGAAATTGATCAAACAGTTTAAACGAGGAGTGATTGGTACGATGAATAATTCAGTAGGACCATTAGGAGCGATAGACTCTGTTATATCATGCTATAAAGAGGTGGTTGAAGTGAGTGAAGAGGAGTTAAGCAAGATAAAAAAATTGATACTTGAGCAATTTTCTAAACAACCTGATCTTCGTGGTGTTGGGGCATTTTTCAGATTTTCTCCAGAAGGAGATTTCAAGTATAAAATGTCACCAGATCCTTTGAACAAGCATCAATTTGTGTACGTGATCTACCGGATATTAGTTGAACGAGTGGACGATGAAAGATTGGAATATAAAGTGAAAAATATTTTTGACGAGTTAGATTTCATTATATAATAGCCAATATTTTACGTATTACAAATGAACTTGAGAATTTACGACAGGAGAATGAGCTATTGAGAAAGAGAAACGAACAATTGCAAAATTATCAAAATCAAGTATCAGAGATATTGACTTGGAAACGTCCGTATTTTTTTCTATTATCGCAAGCGTTCAAGCAAATTCTTTTCATGATATTTTATCATATGATCGCCACGTTTCTGGTTTTTTTTTCTGTGGAACTTTTTTTTTATTATAACAAGCTTGATCGCAAGTACACATGTTGGGATGGAGAATACCGATTTGATCCCAAGAATAACTGAGTATGTTGAAGAAATATTGGAGGAGAACGAGAGTTTGAGAGAATTTAACGAGCAATTAGAGAATTATAAAGCAGAAAACATTTCATTGTATTACCATTATTATATTTTAAAGCTCATTAGAAGTAATTTTTTTAGAATAATTATCATATATTTATTATCCCTTGTTATTGGGTTTTGGTATTTTTTTTATCTCATCGAATGTTTAAAATGTGAAATATGGCCAAATTTCTGGGAGTATTTTATAGTTTTTGGGACGTTTTACTATCATGAAATTGATCTAGATTTTATATTAAGAAAGTATTATTTTTTCTATAGAGCTTATCTTTTCAATTACACCCGATACAATGAGATGCAATTTGATCAATATTTTGATTTAACAAACATTACAATTTAAAATATTTATTAAATTTTAAAAATATATTTTAACATTTTAATAAAAATTATATATATTTTTTAATAAAAATTACATTTTTTAAATAAAAATTATAAATTAAAATTGCATTTTTAATAAAAAATTATTTTTTTTCCTAACCTCTACAGGTTTTACTTGCATTATTATTTCTGCTCTGCTAACAATCTTTTCTATTTTCTTTTCAATCAGGTTATCTTTATTGTATTTCTCACTGAAATAATCCAAGGTTAAATTAGCAGCGGTGTTTACTTTCTTTAAAGTATCCTCGTAGTTCAGGTTTTCGTGGGTGAGTTTATTATTATCATCTTGAAGTTTCTTGTTTTCTTCAGATAATTTTTTATTCTGATCAGACAAGGTCTTGTTATCGGCTATTAATTCGGTATTTTGTGCCTTGAGTTTATCATTTTCTTCTTTGAGCGGTTTCAGTTTTTCGTTTTCATTTTTTAAATTGTTTATTTCGTTGGTAAGGTTGGTTATTTGGTTGGTTAGAGGTTCTTTTTCTTTTTTTAACTCTTCATTTTCATTTTTTAACGTTTTTATTAGGTCAGTTAATCTGTTAAAATCACCTTGGATGCGGTTAGCAAGGGCACTACCACTTGGTATTGGTAATGCTTTGATGTTAAAATTGAATTCTTTATTCATGTTTTTTATTTTTTTTTTATTTTTTTTTTTTATTTTTTTTTTTATTTTTTATTTTTTTATTTTTTTATTTTTTATTTTTTTTATTTTTACATATTTATTTTATTTATTATTTGAATAAAATAAAAAAGGAAAAATTAAAAACTGCTGTTGATTCTGTTTTTGATAAT